ACGATATAAATCACAAAGATTTAACATTTTCTGTAAATTCTGTGAATCTCGGGCAGCTTGACTTGCGTGAAGTGTTTCCAGCTGTGCGTCGTGTACCTGGAGTCGAGTGTTTTAACCGATGCATTAAATGATGCATTTTTAGATATAAGTTGTAACGGCCGCCGTTTTCTTTGTGAGTATTTATTACACGGCGTGCTGCGGGGAAAAGCCTGTTCTAACGTTGGAGTCTAAGGTTTACTTTTTAGCACCTGACGGCTCTTTTTTGCTTCTTATCTGTAAATACTCTGCATCTTTCACGTGATTCAGGTTTTTTTTTTGAAAAGTCTCAACAGGATCTTGAGCTTTATTGTGAAAGGTTTATGTGGAAAATAAACAAGCGGACACACGATGGTTTTACTGTCGTTGTTGCTAACGACAACGCATAAAAACAGGTGCTTGTCCGTCTGTAGTGTGGTTATATTAAATATAAGAGAAAGAGAGAACTTTAAGAAATTAATATAGCCACTACAGTGACCATCAAAACGATGAAAAAATATTGCCGTAAACAGTTTATTTTGCGACACCACGAAACAAACGATAGCGTAAAATGAAACGATAGACGTTTTTATATCGTCATCCGATATATATCGTTATATCGAACAGCCCTAACCAGACTTTGCCTACTTTGTTTATGCAAGCTTATAGTTGATAATCTAAATTCTAGCCTGTGACGACCCCTTAAAAAAAAAAATAAGGGAGCAGCTGAAAGTTGCTTTATCATCAATGACAGTCGCTGGTTGAAACTTCCCTTTAACTTAGTTTGCACTAATAACTGTTGGTTCCTGTGCGCTTCAGTTACCTCTATATCGTCATAAATGGCATTACTACAAATTTTCTTGAAATATCACAACATAAATTATGAGGCTATTGATAGCAAGTAATATGTAATGTAATGTAACCAATAAATGCAACATTGTGATGAATAATGATGAAATATAGTTCATGAAAATAGACTTTTTGGGTGTGATAACCAACCATAAATTATGTTGCAAAGCGTACACATTTACTTCATAGATATTTTTCAATGATTTCTTGCATGCGTGCATATGCACTCCTGCAACAAACAGAATATAAACCCACGAGAAAACGCAGGATTCTCCTGTTTACATAGCAGGTCAGAAAATTCAATAAGCACCTCTGAACTCTATTCAGTTCTGTATTTGAGCAGTATTTTGTCTGTTCGAGTCAAAATATTTGTTGGCTCCAACATCTCTGGTATGACAATTTGCTTTCACTAGAAATCAGAGCCGTAACAATTATGAAAACCCAAAGATAACCAGCGTACTATGATGTGCGACAAAGTACATTATAAAAAACATTTTTTTCAAAGGTCTACATAATTGCTATAGTTGACTTATTACTGCTCTATATTACCCTAGTGTACAAAGCTGCAATAAACAAAATGTGTTCTAGGTAGAGCTGGGCGATAGAACGATAACGATATGTATCGCGATATAACTTTTACTCGATAGAGAAATTAAGCTATCGCGATAGACCTCGCCGCTCTTGTCCTCTTAAAAAAAAAAAAAAAAAAAGGTCAGCCAATCCAAATTAAGTAGCGCAGAGCCGAACCAATCACAGCCGCAGCGTCACGTCGCGTGACTTGTTACGTACAGCACAAGTGCCAAGCCACACGTGTGTTTGTTTGGGAAGCAGCCAGCGGGTAATGGAGGAAATGAGTGTGCCGACTAGAAAAATCAACCGAGCGTGACCGAAGAGAAAACAGATGATGGTTCCAACGCCGGAGAGATTGTCGAACGGAAGAGCCATAGAAGTTCCGTAGTGTGAAGGTATTTCGGCTATTTCAAGTCTGACAAAAAACAGAGTAGCGTGCACTGTAAATTGTGCCGAAAGCAAGTCTGGAAATACAATAAACTGGTGCATGCGTCACACTGTGCGCCACGTTATTGTTTCGGTGAAATGAATTTCTACAATACTGTTACTGTTAATTCTACTCTCTGCAGTGTTTAAATGCTTACATATACACACAGTTACTGTCCCTCCACACATACGACTCGGTTCTGCTTCTATGCCCCAGCTTTGTTTACTTTTTCCCACCGAGGCTTCTAGACTTCTGATTGGCCAACATTTCTGCACGGTTAGGAATCTAGCGCCACCTGCTGCTTTGGCATGTTCATAGCAGCGTTTTCCTTCATTTCTGCCTTTATGTGTGGACGGGATTATTTTTTAAAACGAAAACGGAAAATCTCCGTTTTCAAAAATACCCGTGTACGTGTGGACGTAGCCTCAGTCTCTGACTGGAAGCGCTAATTCGTCATTCGGCTTTTGTCAGACTAAAGTAACTGTTAAAACTGTTTGAAAAGCTAAGCTATACAACAAGGAGAGATTGAGAATTTCCTTTTAGTTCTCAGTTTATTTGATATTGACAAAAGTTAGTCAGTTTTGTCTGTTCTTCTGTAAAACAAACTAAGATTTATTTTTAGAATTAATATTTTGTTTCTAAGTGGAATTGACAATTTAGTCTGTTTCGTTTGTTCTATTTTGAAACTTAAACGCTTTAGCGGCTGCCTTTTGTGTAGTTTGCAATATTTGCCTTTATTTATCTGAAAAAGTCTCATGTTCCTTAAGTACATCTACCCTGTTGAACTTATTATGGGAAATAAATATTTAAATAAAAACAAGCTGCTGATTATTTCACATTTTACTTGTGAGCAACGGCACATTTAAATCTTACAAATATAGTTATTTGGCTTATATCGTGATAGATATCGTTATCGCCTGAAATGAAAAAAACATATCGTGATATGAAAAAATCTCATATCGCCCAGCTCTAGTTCTAGGTAAAAGGCCTTTAGGAGTCCTTTTATTTCATATTAAAATGTATTTTTTCTCATCCTGATGTATTCATGTCTGAACAGATTTTTACCATAGTAGTTGGTGGAGCTATTTTTAACTCTTTTATACACAGCTCTGTAATTTCATCGGTCTATAAAAGATCACATTTTGTAATCTGTTTTAATCTAATCACATATGTGACACAGCATGTAAAAAGCCAAGAAGAAAATGAAGAAGAAAGAGCCGCACTTTCCAACATTTCCAAAATCTTTTTTCTTAACTTCACTTTCTGCAAATATCTCTCAGAATTTTGTCTGAAAATGTAGCTTAAGGAACAGCTTTTGATGCATAAAATGCAAATACTCAGCGCACCTCTGCAGCATGAGGTGAAAATACTCGCTCAGCGCAACCATAGACACACACACACACACACACCTGGGGACGCGACCTGGCCAGCCAGCCAGCAAAATGTGCCCCCGTTAACAATGCTGCCAACTTTTCCGTCTTTAGCCTGTGGCGATAACGCTGTGTGCTCTGTGATCAGCCGAAGGGTTCTTGCAAACCTCAGTGGAGTTTTTAATCAGAAATGTAATCATTTACAAATGTACTACGAGAGCGTATTTATCTATTAGTATTGATACTAATCCACAGAAAGTCAGAGAAACAACACATCTTTTTAATTTGTTTTGTTTTTTGTTTGCATTTCATTTAAATGATCGGTCTGAGGCTAGTTTTTACTGTTGTGATGTTTACTGTTTCACACTAAAGGAGAAATATTTGTCAGGTCCAAGATGTCAGAAGCTTTGAGCAGATGTTATAATGACTTGTCATCGTGCAGACATCAGTAAATATATTCACCTACTGAGAAAAGCTGCAGAGCGATCACCAAATCATCTCCACTGAAAGGTGACCAAGTGGATGTCATTTTAAATCAAAGACGAGATCTTAACTGGGCCTACATCCACTTTTCGTGCGACTACATCCACATGTGCAGTTTTCTGCTTCTACCGACGTCAATGGATGACAACAGAAACCGACTTCTGCTCTCAGGAAAGTCCCAAACCAACTCATTCATCTACAAAACATAAATAAAACGTGTTGCATTATTCACCACGTGATAAGCTGGCTGCAACAAGACAATTCCTCCGTGTGGGTGGACACTCAACTGGAGCAGATAAACAGGATCTGACCATTAGGGGGGCTCTTGCTCTCTCCTACCTGTTCACCTCCTGTGCAGCCTCTCAGTGCGTGCATGTGTGCGTGTGTTAGAGAGAGAGAGAATGCTGCATGTTGTGCAACAAACCAGCCTCACTTTGCACTTCTTGGAAATCACGGTGAGGGGAGAGAAAAAAGGCCCGAGCTGCTCTCACTGCAGCTGTTTGGCTCTTCCACTGCAAGCTCCATTCACCGATGATCTTAAAGAGGCTGCAGGGGGGAAGCTGAGCACAGCTCCTCCTCCACCTCCTGCTGCTGCAGGGTGGTAAAGTTGGGTCAAAAGTGTGACAGGCATGCAGAGGGGGGAAAGCTGCACATCGGTGGACACCCAGGGGTTTGCCACATATCCAGTTGCTGGACAGAAGCAGCAGCTGACACACTTTGCAAAGCGCAGAGAGTGCGCCCTGTTCCTGAACCCTCCACCTTAAAGCTCGCGGGTCGCTTTGCCATCAGTTTGTTGCATTTTCTCTCCTCACGACCTGAAATAAATTTGCAGCCTACAAACACACAAACTTGTCCACTGACAGCTGCAGGTTGTCACGTCATGCCACCCCCCACCACCCCCTCCCCTATGCACCAAACCACATATTTAGAGCCCTGCACGCGACAAGGCTTTCAAGATTTACCCCGAAAAGCGTGCACGCGCCACGCGTCAACTCGTGCAGAGTTTCTAATAAAGACCGTCTATCTCGTGACTATTAAGGCGCCCCGTGCTCTACATCCCTGCCTGTGCGCTGCTAATAGCGCCAGTACGAGTGAGTCCACACAGCATCGTCTTACCAGGAACTGTGCAAAGGGGAAGATCTCAAACAGGAAATGCAACTGACCCTTCTTAGCCGTCTAACTTTAAAATGCACCGGCCGTTCTCGACCTGCAGCGGTGCACGTTGCAGCTCGTGCAGCCGTGATTGCATATCGCTAGTTTTGCACACATCGGTTTCATATTCTTACCTCCCTTCGACTGAGACATTTCCCCTTTGCTTTGATGAGGGGGAGGGGAAGCACAAAAGACTTTGCCTTCTTTCTCACTCCCTCCCTCCATCGCCCTCGCACTGGAGCTTCAGCGGCTCGCTTTCTGCAACAAAGATGCAAAAACACAAGCCTCGATCTTCATGCACTTGGAGCCTTTTCGCGTCCGAAGCGTGCGCGTCCGTGCGCAGGGCGCCGGGACGGATGCACGGCCGTCGGGAAATCAGGTAATTCTGCAAATGCACTGCAAAGAATTCTCCGCAGCACTTACATGATGGGCCAAGGCTGGCAGCTGAAAGCTCCTAACTTGGATCAGTGTGAGCCCCTGCGAGAGAACGTTCTTCCTGCTTGGGCCGCGGAGGCTTGTGGGAAATGTAGTGAGCGCTGCGGCGTTTTATTTTCGAAACTGCAAAGACGCTGAAGTTTGTAACGTATCCTAAAAAAGAGTGGGTGTGGGTTTCGTCTGTGCACACAGGATGCAATGGAAACACTGACTGTTATATTCATTTCTGGTGGGTTTTGTACATTTTCAGCATCGATTTCATGATGCAATAGTTTGTAAAACACATTAAAAAAAAAAAAATCTTGCACCAGCTAAGAAATCTGCACATTCTGTAATAAATTCAATCTGTATTCGTTCAAAAGTCACTCTCAGCTTCTTTTCTTATTATTCTATATTATTCTTAGAGATATTAGAGAGTGAACTCCTAAGGGAGCTCTTGGTAACAGCAAGGAGGAAGAACTCCCTTTTAACAGGAAGAGAGTTCCATGAGATTCAGACTCATGCAGGGGCCATACGCTGTGACCTTTGTGGGGTTTTTGCTTTCCAATATAAAGCCCCTTCAGGTAACTGTTGTTGTGATTTGCCACTTAATAAATAAAACTGAATTGACTGGAGACAAATTAGAAAAGCAAGGCTGAAAGAGTTTAGACGTGTGCTGAGGAGGGATCGTGGATACAATGGACAAGGGATTTTAAAGATGAAGCTGCCAGGAAAAGAATGAGGATCACGGATGTAGTGAAGGAGGACATTCTGAGGGTTGGGGACAGGGTGGGATGGAGGCAGCAGATCCACTGTGGCAACCCCAATAGGGAACATCCGAAAGAAGAATTATGATTGAAATTGGTTCAATGTTTTTTAAATTAGCTGATTAAATCATACCATGGATCAAAGTCAGCACAGAGAAAGCAAACACAGTCAGTGGGAGAAAGGTGAGTGTGGCAGGTCAGTAAGGTTTAAACCCGTGGTGCTCAGGGATTACTCGAGCCTGCACTGATTTCTTTATTTGAGACTGAGCAAGTTTAATATGAGCAACGAGCAAAGTACAAAAGTTCAAGCACTGATTATGCAGCAGAATTATTGCTGCATTATTATTACTGTTCCTTTCATTTCTGTGCAGCTTTCTGCTGTTGAGCTCTGTGCATCACTTTATTATTTATAGAATTATCATCTGAAGAGTCAGCAGTGATGTCAGTGCAGTGAAAAGGAAAAAAATATAAATTTACATAAAAGGAAACTTGATCAAATGAATCGCAGGTGTTTTAAACACTCTTTGTTCAGGTGTCTGCATCTATACAAAGAATCCAGACAGAAAACGCTGTGAACCGTAGAGCAATAATATCACGTTAATAAGACGTTACAGGGGCTGCGAGGTACAAAACACAACAATATTTTAGAAATCACAACAACACTTGACTTTACAGAAAAGTTCATGATGTTTTTTCCGTTTCAGAAGATGAAACCAAGTCCTCGGTGACGAGCTCATGTCACTTCTTCTTTCTGTTGTCTCAGCATGTTTTTGTTAGTAAGTTTGAAAGAGGAGGATGGAATCGACGTGATCTGTTTTCTGAATTTTTGCCTTACACCTGAGAATCACAGTAGAAGTTAAACACAGAAATATACCAGGATTATCCTACAGTACATGTTAATGAAGCCATAATAATACATCTATGTGATAAAAACAAAAAAAACCTTTTATTTCCATGTAATAAAGCAGCTTTGTGGTTTTAATAAGAAAAAAATATCATAATAATTTTTCATTTTTCTTATTTATTTTAAGTCTATTAGATTTGGAGGGGATGTTACGCGTTGTGTCCTTTTGCTCTGACCGTTGTGCTTCACAGTCGGTCAGAGCAAAAGGATAAGACAGAATAAAAAGAAACAGTTAAAAGGAGGGCAGGAAACAATATGACAATATGACGCTCGTGGCTCGAGAGTTGGGAGTTCGCCTTGTAATCGGAAGGTTGCCAGTTCGAGCCCTGGCTTGGACAGTCTCGGTCGTTGTGTTCTTGGGCAAGACACTTCACCCATTGCCTACTGGTGGTGGTCAGAGGGCCCGGTGGCGCCAGTGTCCGGCAGCCTCGCCTCTGTCAGTGTGCCCCAGGGCAGCTGTAGACTGGATCAACTCAGAGGAATGAATATAAGGAGTCTGGGAGCTATGACAGCAAAGGCCCGATCACCTCTGGACTTCAAACGAGACCTCGGTTGCGTCAGGAGTTTGATTGGAAGATCTAAGTGACTTATTAGGGAGTTCGTTTATTAGGAAGGAGTTTGCATAGATAGCTGGGAGCCAAATGATTTAAAATTTTAAATGTAAGCTTGGTTCTTCTTAATTACATGTTTTGTTTTTTTTATATCTGACAAATAAATTTGATAAAGTAAAAAAAAAAACAATTGATAAACTGACATTTGCCAGAAAATAATTTTTTGCATGTGGTGACAAAACATAAGCCGGATGACAATCAGGACAATATTCAGTTTAGTTTTTAAAACTTATGAAACAATCTTTATTACCAGGCGACACTGATTAATGCAGCAGTGGATGTAAGTAACAGCATCGATCACATTAATGGATTCGCTAACGAGGTGCTGCGACATCGGTGAGAAGGAGTACAGGTTGGGTTTCTAAATAAGTTATAACATACAAGTAGAAGAAAAATGTTTAAAAAATCAATTTACTTTCCAGTAAGCACTGAATTAACAATTTACTGATTTAAAAAATTGAGCCATCTACAATTTTTCAACCATATTTCACAACAACACAAAATATAATCAAAGAAACAAAAACAGCTAATACAAAATCCATCAGCAAACATTAACATCAGGGTATAATTTAATCAGCAAAGCTTTAGATCAGTGCACACCGGGCAGTGAATATCAGCTGTGACCCCTTTATGTGTAAATGGGGTATAATAGCACCAATAACAAATCAGTGTATGACAAAGGAACAACCTCAAGAATGAAGGACGAAGCTGGTGATGTTCTGCATTTTCCTGAGTGCCAATAAATCCCATAAAAAAACCAAAATTATTAGCGTGTTAGCCCATACGTCACTTTAAACTTTAATACCCAAGGTTTTTATGGTGCAGTAATTTTCTCAGATAGTTGGATGCTGTGTTTTTATTAAATACTCTTCAGCCTGGATGAAATGGTGCATTTCTTGGGGACTAATTTCAGTGGCAGATTAATTTCTGTTTGGTCCTCTAGTGAGTTTTTTTTTCAGCACTTGGACAAGACGAATAAAGACTATCACCATCTTTCCATTATGATTTTACCCTCACAAAATGCTCTCAGGCAGTCCTGAATCAGGATCTTTGTTTTTTATTTGCTCAGTGATTCCAATGACTCAGGTCCACGTCTCCATGATGGGATATGAGTGAGGGTTGGAGTGAGGTTAATTCTTGGTGCTTATGAGGGTTTGGTACAGTGGCTTCACAACAATATGGAGGAACAGGGAGCTGTCCATGAGATATTCAGACGTCCGGCGGTACAGGTCAGCTTCGGCCAAGAAATCGCCGTTTTCCTCTGTGCTCTGGTGGAAGTTGTAGACATGCTTCACCACCACCTTCCCCTGCTGCTGAGCCATCACCAGCACCGTCTTCTGGAAGCTCACTCCAGCAAAGTCGGTGCTGGACGTGGCAGGCGTGATGATGATGCGAGGACGCCCGCCTTCTACGCGAGTCGGCTGCATGGCGCCCGTCTCGGTGTACATGGGCCTCATGCTCAGGGGCAACCAGCGCGGGGAGAACAGGACGTTCCAAGTCACGCGTTTGTTGGCGTCATGGTTGCTGGGCCCCAGCTGGGTCTGGAAACTCATGCTGCGGTCGTCCCGTGTCGGGTTGTTGATGATCCAGGGGGACCCCCACACTGGGGACAGGTAGTTCCTGGGCACAAAGAGGCTGCAGTTCACGTCAAAGTATTTGGCCATCTGCAGCGGCGAGGCCGAGTGAAACTGGTAGGACATGTAGAGCAGGTCACGCACCGACTCCTGATAGCGAGCCAGGATTGTGGACTGGGTTTGTAGGAGGAAAAGCTCCCGTGGGGGGATCATGGCGTAGCGCACAGCTCTCAAAGCGTTCTCAGCCGTCAAACCGTCCGGATCGTTCTGGATAATCCACGCCTCCAGGGCTGAGAAGAGCTCCATCTCACTCTGCAGGATGAGGTCTGAACGCTGCAGCAGGGACATAAGCAGCTGGCTGCTGATGGTCACCCACTCGCCGCTCTGCAGCAGAGACGACAGGTTCCAGGCCATGTACTGAAGACAGCTGTCCCTCAGAGTTACATCCCCGGCCTGCTGGGCGTACTCGTACCAGCCTGCCACGTGGCCTGACGGGGTGTCCCTGGCCAGATTCTGGGTCATGTACTGGGTGATGCCCTGCTGGAGACTCAGCACTTGATACTTAGTGGCCAGCTTGTGTAGAGGAGTGGCCTGGTCCAGACGCAGAGAAAGCTCCCCACAGTACAGATACCTGCACAGAGAAGAGAAGCTGACTCTATGACCGCTGCTGGGTGTATTTTAGACATTCTTAGAGTCATGCTAAAGCTGGAAAAGCTGCATTTTCATAGCAGACATCTTAACTCTTAGCATCCACTGCCAATAAGTCTAGAGTTAGGTTTAGGGTTTTGACTATGATACCTTTCAAATTAGGTGTCATAGAAAAATTAAGTTAATACAATAATTATAACATTTTCTGTTAATGCGGTTGCAGGTAACTGGGACCATTATTTACTAAATTACCAACTGTACACATCAAAGGAGCTGAGGGTAACTTTCCCAGAGATTAGTATATCACTGAAATTTACAACCACAGAAATTGCCCCCCTGCTGGCTATTAAAAAGAATGCAAGTTTAAGGCATTTTCCACACTGATGCTATGTCCCAAAACCTAGGCCGCATCCTTCGGAGGACCCGGCCTTCGCGGTCTACGTGGGCCGGAGAACGCCGGAAGTGCGAGGCTGTGAAATGGGAGGGTCTAGCCTTCAGATTTGCGTCACCGCTGTCTCAGTGGTGTTTAATAAACTCAGCTGTCTTCTCCTTGCCATCTAAAATATAGCAGGACACT